GGGGGGCAACTCCCCTCTCTGCAGACCCCTACCTTCAGGATGATGGGCGATCCTGGCTTTTGATCCAAGACTCCTGTGGGGCTGAGCAGTTCAAAGGTGGGGTTGGGGTAGTAGATGAACTTGGTGTCGTTGTAAATCAGCAAGGACTGGACGTTGTTAAAGACGAATCCGAACTCATCTGGCCGCTCCACAGTGTCCAAGCCTGGCCGGTAATCCGTGGTCAGGGAGGGTGCCAGGCAAGTCAGGGTGGTCGTGTTCACAACTTTACACACCTATGAGACCCAGAGAGGAGTATTCGAATGTGAGCACCAGTGGGCAGAGGTCGGGATCCCACAGCCTGTCTCCTACTCTCTGCTTGCTTGAGTTTGCTGGCTTTGGGTTACTTGCTTATTTTTATCACATGGTGGGGTTCTGAATGAGAGGTGGTGGCATTTGGGCGGAAGTGCATTTTAATCTCATTTATCCATTCATTCATTCACTCATTATCTGGAGCTGCTACTCTGTGGCAGGTACTGTGCTAAGAGTTGAGGCCATAGAGTGAAACAGATCCAACCCCGGGGGCAGACTGCGGATTAAACCAGCCTTGCAGTGTCGACCTGGCAGAGGGCCTGCGGCATTGTAGGGCACAACACAAGGCTGAAATGCAAGAATGGATGTGAAACACACAGTCCCTGGGAGGATCGGGGACTCTGGGAGTGTGTGTGAATGGGGGAAGGATGGCCTGCAGCAGGGTGGTGGTGACTCATCCAAGTTTTTCCTCTGGAAGAAAGGAATGCACTTTAATCTTAAGAATGAGAAGGCTTATCTAGACAAAGAGAGGGAGGTGTGGGGGAACAAGTTCCAGGAGGGAACAGCACTTCAAGGGCCTGGGGGTGAGGAAGCAGGGGATGTTTGAGAAAGAAGTAGGACAGAAGCAGTGTAGGGTGTGTGGGCAGGTGGGTAGTATGGAGCAGAAAGTGGTATGAGATGAGCACTTTGCCCTGCTTAGCACATAGTAGGTGTTCAGTTAGTGTTTACTGAATAAACAGGACTGTGCAATTCCACATCTTACCCAGGACCTCTCTCTCTCTCTCTCTCTCTCTCTCTCTCTCTTACAGAATTGACACTGAATTCATGTTATACTTTTTTCTTTGGTCTGCCATTTATTTAAAAATCCTAGCTGGCTCCCCCACCTGCCTTTTCCTTTGGTGGTTAGTTCTGGAGTTGCCCCAGGTGGCAGCCAGACTGAAGAAACCACTAAAGAGGACTCATGCAGGCCTTGGGAAGGAAATCCAGACTCCTGCCCCATGCCCTGGCTCTCCCCCTGGGCACAGCTCAGTTTCAGCTCTGGGAGCCAGGAGGTCCCAGGAATCGCCAAGGGCACCTCTGAGAACTTGGACTGTTCAAGTACATACTGTCCTGGCAGGGCCCCACACGTGTTGGGTAGCTGGCCAACACACACACACACACACACACACACACACACACACACACACACGGACTTCATGTTCAGAAATAAGACTTGTGTGTGAAATTGCAAAAGAGCTGACACTTGCATAGAGATTTTATCTAGAGATTATGTCAGAGCGTCAAGTTTGCCAAGTCTTAATCCTCCCTTGCTAGAGGGAGCTCCACAGTTTAAACCAAACGGCTCGCTGTGGCCTTCACGCTGTAGTAGCTAGCGGTCGGTACCCACTCCTGCCTTCTTCATTGCACGCTTCTGCAGCTCCCTTTGAACTTGATGCACTTTTCATATTGCAGCTGGGGACACTGAGGCACAGGAAAGCAAGGGCTGCGGTCAAACAGGTCGAGTGGAGCCAAGGACTGGAAACCCTGGCTCAGGAGGGAAGCAACCAGCTTCACTCAGAGTTGTCTCTCCATCCTCTGTCCCCACCGGCCTCCCTGCTTCTCCCGGTTTCCCTGTGAATAAGCAAATCAGTCCCAAACAAGAGGCCTCTGTGTTTCCTGCCCTGTGCTGCATCCGCATTTTGTCTGCCAAACATTCCTTTGGGCTCTGCAGCTTTGCCCTGGCCTTCCTCGCCATCCACCCGGGTTGCTTCAAAACCCAAAGGGCCAGAGAGATGGCTCCGGGTGGGCTGAGATGGGACCCAAAAGGGGTGATGACAAGGAGGCGGGGCGGGCAAAGTGCTTCCTTCTCTCTGTCCTGCAAGCAGAGGATCACTGAGCTTCCCACTGTGGGGCCAGTCTTGAGGGACACTGTGTTCCCACAGGCCTTTCCTGCGGGCCTGTGGACTCCAGGCAGGGAGGCCCAGGGCCCCCAGCTCTCCAGAGGTGGAACTAAATCTTAGTTCCTTGAAACCCTGAGATCCATGGTGTAGGGGGGTGGGGAAAGTGCTGGGGAGATTCCTGCCAGGGCTGCCAATGAGTCCTTATGAGGCGCAGGGACCCAAGGCTCCAGCCCCATCAGTCTCCACTCCCATTGGCTTCCCTGGGATGAAGACTGTGGGCTTCGGGGGTCACTTTTGTCAGTCATGTACTCACTCTAGAAAATTCTCTATGTATGGTGGTCATTATGTCTTTGGTTTTCTGTATACTGGAGCTTGGCATCTAGGACTCAGCTCTTTGGAAACAGCTGCCAATTCCTAGAGATGGCAAAGGACTTGCCGGCCAGGGACATGCCTTTCAGATGCAAACCAATCAACCCAGCCCCACTTTCGAACCATCTCCTTTTACACTGCGTCACTGTCCACATTCCCTAATCACCCCAGGGCTCAGTACCAATCGACCAGGGAGGACCGTCCCTACGCACAGAGCCACTGAAATGACTCCAACCAGCTGATCTGAAACCCTTGGCCCTGCATGCCTATCCCTTCCTGCCGAGACCTCAACAGAGACTCTAGCTGCCGTTTCTCCTCTCCCTCTGCCTCCTGATAGAGCTGGGGTTTCCCCACGTGGCCCCCATGGCAGGCTCCCTGCTTTTGGAACTTGGCTCTGTGTGAAGGACAAACTACACTCTGGCCTTGCTGTGTCTGAATAATAATAAACTCTATTTTAAAACACGTGTTTCATTTTCCTGGGGAGATGGTTTGTCCATCAAGGCTGTCTGGGACTGTCCCGGGTCCTACGTCTCACCTCCTCCAGGAGACCCTGGGAATGGGGGTGATCTGTGAGCTTCTGGGAACACTTAGATTCCTATAGAAGCCAAATGGGGGTAACAGGCTCTTTCCCCATGGCTCCAGCCTACACCCTGGGGAAGAGGCCTGTGCTCACCTAACTGGAAGTGTGTGGCTAACTGTGGTGGGTTCTGAAGTGTGCTCCCATGTCTCTGGCATAAATGGGAATACCTGGCTCACCAGCATTGCTGTGGTCTAGTTATGAACAGTCCAGATGTTTGGGATCTAGCGTGGTCCTGCCACCAGTCACCTTTAGGGTTGCAGCAAGTCATTGATCCATCTGGCCTTAGTTTCCTCAGTCAGCTATGCAAGGACGGGGCTGGGCCAGATGATCCCTGAGAACTTTTCGGGTCCAGTGTTCTAGCACTCCATCATTTAGTGTATTTTCACGGTCTCTAAGCATGCTGGGAGTGGGTCGGGGATAAGAGAAGAGATGACACCATCTTTGGCATCTCCATCTTAGCCACTCCAGTCTTCTGAAGGTCAGAGCAGTAATCACAGAACTGCCTATGAAAATCAACGGCCTTGACCGCATCTTCTGGGCTATACTGGTGAATATGAGAATATTTCAGAACATACTGGCTTTAAGAGTGAAATGGAGCCACTAGAGCAAACTGAAAACTTTATGATAACTTATCAGACATTCTGTTCTCATCAGAATAAGAGAACTTCTTTAAACTCACAAAAACCCACCCCAGTGTGTGGAGGGGAATAAAATTATGTGGTCCTGAGCAAAGGAATAAAGTAAAATGTTCAACCTGATCATCCCAGCAATTAGGTTCTGGGCAAGGTCAGAATTATTTGTCCGAAGCGACTAATATTTATCAAGTGCCAACCAAGCATTGGCCAAGGGCTGCCATATTACAAATCTGTGAAGCGAGTCTTAGCACCGCCATGTATCACGTGGATTAGAAAGAGTAAGTGACTTGATCATGGTTGTATAGCTAACAGATGGCAGAGTCCTGCTTCCAATCCAGAAATGTCTGCACGCGGAGCCAGAATGTCTCCCCCAGCCACCCAGCGTTTCTCAATGAACCTTGAAGGGAATGTGCCATAAAACAGGAATCCTTTTATGCTCTGTCAGAAGCTCTGAAACCATACACTCAATACATCACCTCTGACAAGAAATAATCTGTAATTATAAAAATGATTTTAAAGCTCTGGTATTTGGGATCCTGATTCCAGGCCCAGAGTCTTGAGCCGATTCCCCTCTCCAGTATCTAGGTGTCTCTATGCCTGACCCAGAGTTCATAGGGAACTGTGATAACTGAGGACTGGGGTGGACCAATGGCTACTCACATTGACAGATTCTTTGCCATTAAACTTGACCCGGATCCTTGGTTCCTGAATGACATCGAGGTTGAAGCCTGTGATGGTCAGGGGTGTGTGGCCGCTGAGGACAAGCAGAGGCTAGATTAGGCAAGAGATCCCTCAAACCTGGAATGGTGAACCTCGACCACTGGGATCCCTCCCGTGAACCACCCTTGGGTCACAGAGGTCATGCCACTTGGTAGCCAGGTACATTCCACCATTAGCCTCACCTGGCAATGCTCCACTCTGGCTCAATGCGCTGGACGCGAGGGTCATCTATGTACTCAAACTGCAGGCTGTTATCCACCCGGGCCCTGTCAACACTCACGGAAACCGGGACTGGGCCCAGTCCATTGGCTGATGGGGGTGAGACACACACGATCTCATTCATGGACCTCCTGATGGGAAGAAAACATGATGTTTGAGAAGAAAGGCATGGGATGACTAGGGAGCGCCCTTTGGCTTGAAAAGATACTTCCCTTGGTCAAAGGTGTGGCCCAGAAAATTTCTGCTATTCCTTTATGCTGTATGCTATGGCTCACACCCCTCACCTGTGCCCTCTTTCTACCTGAGGCCCAACCCTAGAAGGGTCAGGGAAGGAACACATTGGAAAAGTAGATTAGGTGTTAGGTTCCATGGGATTTGGGTGAACTCCTTCTTATCTGGATTTTTCTAGACTATAGACAGTCTGGTCAGGCTGTCAATAAATATTCATTGAATACTTACTATGCATAGTGATTACCACACAATGCTTGCTTTTGTAGAATTTATAGTTTATTATCAGGCAATACTGGGCAGACTGAGTTCTCAGGCATGGAGTCTTTCAGAATTCTTTCAGGAGTCTCTGCATCCCCAGGGCTCATAGGAGTGGCTGATAATAATAAGTGTTCATTTTTTTTTTT